GAAGAAGATGAAGAAGGAGGAGAAGAAGAAGAAGATGATGAAGAGGAAGAAGAAGAGGAAGAGGAAGAAGGAGAGGAAGAAGAAGATGAAGAAGGAGGAGAAGAAGAAGAAGATGATGAAGAGGAAGAAGAAGAGGAAGAGGAAGAAGGAGAGGAAGAAGAAGATGAAGAAGGAGGAGAAGAAGAAGAAGAAGAAGAAGAGGAAGAAGAAGGAGAAGGTCTTCATCAACAGGTCGAACACAGAACAATAAACCGGCCAAACATTTGAAAAGGAATAATTATAGGCTGAGATAAAGACACTCAATAAAGTGTCCATCATTGACACTGTTGTTGTTGATGTTGTTGTTGATGTTGTTGTTGATACAGATCATTTGTAAAATTTTATAAATATTTTGCTTCTATGAGAGGTGGTCTATGAGAGGTGGTCTATGAGAGGTGGTCTATCAGTGTTCTGGGAGCGGCTGTGATTGGAGACCAGTGACATCATCGTGATAATACTGAGGTGACTCCATGTGGAGACGTCTGTCTGTCATTTGCTGGTGAACCAGGTGACAAACTGAGAAGAACCTGTGATCAACAGCTGGTTCTGGATGGACTAGTCACTAGTAACTTTAGTCATCGACAGGTCAGTAAGAGAGAGTTGACCTTTGACCTGAGGACAGAGGAGGCTGAGTCATCACTCCTGGTTGTCCATACAGTGATGACCAGGTGTGGGGTCTCCACCGTCAACTCACCCACTGGGGATCTCCCCCACCACGTCGATGTGGTACTTGGTGCTGAGCTCACAGAAGTGGGTGATGATTGTTGCTGCTATGATCTGTGGGAAAGGAGCAGAACAACAGATGTAGTGGTCAGCCCCCCCCCCCCCCCCCCCCAGGACTGGACACCCCCTCGAGGGCCTGAAGACCTCCCCCTACTGTGATGTGAAAGGGAACTCACAACTAACAGTTCAATGGGGATGGGAACCGGCAACTTCTTCCTGTAATAGTTGTTGATTTCTTTGGCCACGATCAGGACGGTCAGCGACACCAGGCTGACCACCAGCTCCGGCACCTGAGTCTGAGGCAGCCGTCCACAGATGTCCACCAGGGTCTGCAGGGAAGAGAGTTGACGGGTGACGGAGACGGGGGGACACAAGGGGAGGGGTCATATATTTGAATTCTTCATATAAATCATGATATATATTTGTGTGTATGTAGTACATTTACAGTGTGTGTACCGTACATGTACATGTAATACAAATACAGTACAGTATACATGACATATACTGTATGATATATACTCACATAGATGAGAGACAGAGGACCAGAGTACCGAGCGGGACTGACTCCAAACAAGTACTTTAACTGGGACACGCAGACGTGACAAGCTGAACCTGTGGTGTAGCCGCGGACCAGAGGCTGAGACAGGTACGTGACCACGAAACCAAACCTTATTACGCCCAACAGAATCTATCGAAAGAAGGAGGTCAAAGGTCGGTCCCACTAGTATGACCAACATTAAATTATAAAAAAAGGTACGCTGTGACACTAACCTGAAAGATTCCCGTCAGGACCGTGACAGAACACGCGACCTTCACCCTGAGGGCGTCCCGGGAGTCCAGGTCCACGCCCAGGGTTCCGTTAGTTCCGTTGACAATGAAGTCAGCGTCAGGCGCCAGCCTTTCTGTCACACTCCCCACCATGATACTGAGGACGGCAAACGTCCCTGGACACAGAGAACAAGGCTGTGGACCTGATCACAGGATCCAGAAGAACCTCAGAAGAACCCGAGCGCCACAGGACCGCCCCCTCTTCTCACCTATGGAGATGTGTCTGGAGGTTCCAAAGATGAAGTAGATCAGCACCGGGTAGAACGACGTGTACAGACCGAAGACTGGTCTCAGTGAAGCCAGAAGAGCGTACGCCATTCCTGCAGCCGCGGAGCCACGGGTTGAAACTCATTAGTGATTTAGTCAATGATCGCAGGTCACAGCCTGGACACTTGTCAAGTGGAAGAGTTGTGTAACTGAATTGTTAATAATACTGGAAGTTAACCCCGCCTCCACCCCCCCTCCCCTGCCCTCCCCTCCCCGACCCCATCCCAAGTACACCAGGTTACCACACAGCTAGGCTAGGACAGGCATGTGTGTGTAAACAAACCCTGGGGCAGATGCATGATTCCCACACTGCATCCAGAGACCAGGTCTCCCACTGCGTTGTCTCTGATGGAGTACCGAGGCAGCCAGCCCAGAACAGGCACCCACCGCAGCAGCCACTCCCTCAGCCTGGACACGGAACATCTGCAACAACCACAGGAACCGTGACATGAACCGGGTCACACCTGGAGGAATGTGCCTTTCACTGCTAACACTGCTAACACTGTTAACACTGCTAACACTGCTAACACTGCTAACACTGTTAACACTGCTAACACTGCTAACACTGCTAACACTGTTAACACTGCTAACACTGTTAACACTGTTAACACTGCTAACACTG